AGTTACTTAAAATTGTAACAATATTTCACAATATTACTGCTTTTGTTGTATTTTTTATCAAATAAATTAGCATAAATAGCCTTGGTGAGCAGAAGAGACGTTTTTCAAAAACATAAAAAAATCTTAATTATTCCAAACTTTTGAAATACTTTTTGTATTTGTAGAACTCTATTTGTAATAAGTCCTTCCATTTATTTGTGAATATGAAACATTAAACCTCACATACTTGCCACTCTAAGCAAACAATGACTATAGCAGCGTAATGCGGCCATGCAACGTGCTCAGTTAATGCAAAAAATACACAAATAAATCAAAACCGACGACCACGATGTGTTACGTGAAGATCAATGGTTTAGAGGATGAGAGAGAGGAAGGAAGAGTCGCAGAAGTTGGTGTGTCCAGGTTAATGGTCATGACACATTCAGGACATGCAGGGCAGCACACTTACCCTAAACTCTTCCACCTCTTCTTCCTGTAAGCAAAGCCCATGAGAGGCAGAAAACAGGTGAACAGAAAGAGAGAAACACTCAGACAGACAGAAGGCACCACCAACAAAGACTACACTTGATCCTACCAGAGAAAGAGAGAAAACATCTGCTGCATGTGTGCAAGCGACTCGATGACAATGACTGAATTTGACATCCCCATAAGAGTGACATACCATTAGAAAGAAATAAGAGCTAGAACAATTTTGATTTCTTGTGGAGTTTCGGTTCATGCTCTTTGTGCATGTGTGCAAATGTCTGCAGTCTTCACCTCTGTCTGAACATGAGCGCTGGGTCCATGTTGGCTGACGTCATGCGCACCACATTTCGTATCTCCTTGGCGATCATTCGTAACTTTTCGAAATTCACCAGGCCGTCAACACTTGAATCGTTACCTGAGAAAGATAAGAGATGACGGACAGTTTTAAGACCTGACACATGAAAGTATTTTTAACAACGCAGACACTTGTGCAGAGCTGGGTAGTAACTGAGTACATGTAATCTGGATCCAAAAGTAATCGGTCTTCGACCCCAGAGGGTTAATGTTTGTTTATGTAATGCAGGGATTCCCAAACGTTTTTGTCAGCCAAACTCCTTAAAATAAGATGTTCACTTAAAATATCTCTGAAGTAAATATTCCGATAATTTAACAATTTGCAAGTTTACAGTTCTCTGATGCCAGTTAATGGTCACTGACATGCAGGTGAAACAAATAAAATATTTCTACTTTTAGTGATCAAGTGTTTATTTTCATTTTTATAATTTAATTGTTAGTTTTTTATCAACTCACCAACCAACAGCAGTTCTTACATTAAGCCCAGTTTGGGAAACCGCGGTGAAATGTAATGTTTAATGCATTTAATTAGTTTTTTATATCAAATTTACATTTAATGGTAAATTAAAAACAAATTAGATAAAAAAAAGTAGTCTAAAAAGTAGTCAGAATACATTACCTAAAACAAGTAACCTAGATTACGTTACGAACTATGTACACTGCACATGTGTATTTAAGAAAGTAAACTTGAGCTACTGACCTTCGTGCAGGAAGGTGAGGTCTTTCTTGACCACGGGAAACAGCGGGATGATGGGAGGCTGTACGCTCTGGCTGCTCAGTATGTTGCGGTATTTGGCCATGTTGCGAGACGGGTCGAAGATGTCCTGAAGGTCACGGAAGAGTTTCTCATACTTACTGGGTAGTTTCTCCCACGTGCTCCTCAATCGAGCTACTGGCGCCAGATTAAGACCACTGAAGAGCGCATAAAAACACAGCACATGAACATCACGTATGGTTCTGCACTGACGTTCACACACTCCTTACAGAATCTGCCAGATGTTTAACCATTTGCAAAATAAGAGAGATTAAAGCTGCATTTTATCTGTTCTGATAAAGCTGCACAACTCACGCAAAACACTTAGGAGCCAAGAGTATGTCAACTTTTGAACATGATAATTTGTGTAAATTGTCAATTATGAATTATTTTGCCTTGTGGATAATTTAGAAATATCCATTAGAGGGCTCTACAGTGCGACCATTTCAGTTGCAATTGCAATTAAAAATTACTGCATGCAAATAAATATTTGGGTACACCAGTGTGGATGATCCGATCTACGGGGTGCTAGAGGGTGCACCCTCTGCTGAAACTAATAAGAGCATTTGCGAAACAGATTTTGCAAACGCTTCAGTCCAGTGTATATGCCTTTGCACTCTGGAAAGCCGTCAAAGGTTTCTCTTTACAACATGCTTTGCAACACTGAGCAATGTAGCCAATCATATCTGTTGATTTCTTGAATACAGTGGCAATCAGGGGTGTTTAAGTTAAGTCACACTACAGTATTTTTAGCCTGATTTAGCCCCGATTTTCTTCTCCCGAGAATTGGAGGAAAAATCTGGTCGAGAACCTCGATCGGCTTCAGTGTTCGGCACATTATCTGATAATGTGAGGCGTTCACAGATCGAATCTTGCACCTCCCGATCTGCTCGCACACAAATCGGGGTCACCCCGATCATCTCAAACATGTTTGATATTTAGGATTTTAAATCGGGATGATCACGGCTATGATTGCGTCAGTACTTTCACAATAGCCAATGCGCGACTGCAAAACAAGCTGCTCCAAGGTCCATTGGATAATGGAGATGGATAAACTGCTTGTGTAAATTTTGCAATAACACGACTGTCTGAATAATGTGTCGAAAACGTATCACAACCGTAAAGGGAAAGAGAAGCGCTGGGGTGATATCGCCTCAGTTTTGAATGTACCGGGTGAGTGAAAGGCTGCTAGCAGGCTATCTAACATATGTAAACATTAGCTGCTAAAACGTCAATCACGTGCGCCGCTCCCTCCGGCACAATAATTTTAATTATATCTTGTAGTGTGTGATGCTCCCCGATTTTCAAATCTTGTAGTGTGTGCATGTTTAAGATTTGAGGGTAAGAAAATCTGCCAAGATTCTCCTTATGTGTATGCTGCAACCAGATTTCATAATCGGTTAGGATTTTAAAACTCCTGTAGTGTGAGCCCGGCTTTAGGCAGAATTTTGTTAAGAGCTAAGTTCTGTGCGCTTGTTAATCCTCTCATTATAAGAAACCAAGTGTTGGCATGATGTAAATACGAGATTAATTGTGCAATGTAGAGCATCACTGATTATTACAGAAGTTTGTGAGATTCACCTAATGATGGCAAACATGGAGTTGAAGTTCTTGCACTCGCGGCAGTGCAGGGCGATCTTGATAAAGTGCTTGATGGTCTTCATGCGTTTGAGTGCATTGGGCTCACGCAAAATCTCAGTGGCCACCCAGAAGGTCTCCTGGTTGATGACCTCCTCGAACTGCTTCAGGTGGCTGTTGCCTCCACCGCCGGGGTCCCGCTTAAACAGGTCATCCACATACTCAGTGGACTCGATGTTACGGAACAGGTCAAAGTCCCTCATGGAGAGCTGCGCAGCCACCTCCACTGTGCTAAGCTGCAGGAGACTGATCTGACTCTCCCTCAAGAGCTCCTGAGCGTCTTCATCAGAGCAAAGCGTCTCTGTCTCCATGTTGTTCTTCAGGTAGTACCTGGTTAAACACATGAATGATGGGATTACTATATAGGGTTGGGTATTGTTTGGGTTTTTTACGATACCGGTGCCAAATCACTACTTTTAAAATGGAATGTGAAAGCAACATGGACACTCGCGTTACTACAACGATTTGTTGCATTTGTTTTATTAGAGCTTTCCGACTTGCGTTCACATGCAGTTTCTCAGTCAGGAAATTATGCTAGTGATGATGCTTCTTACGTCCGTTTCGGAAAACCAGAGGACAAATATTTCAGTCGATTGCTCAGACATTTAAGTGGCACCAAAATGAGGCACCGAAATCTGCGTTATGGTTCGGTTCTAGTACATACCGGTTACATAGGTACCGGGTTTCGGTACCAAACCTTATTACTATATATAGTGTGTCTTTTTGGTCATCAGCTTTGGTCACGTCTAGGGCTTAGACTTCGATTATCATGCGCATCTCGTCAGTAAAGCCGGTTCTGTATTCAGTAGTAAATCTCCATCCCATGCTTTCAGATGGAGCAGCATTTACTACACAGAGCCGTAGTTCACTGACAAGCTACGCAATATCACGTTCATAATCGCAGGCGATACATCGAACCGGCTTTACTGACGAGATGCACATGATAATCGCATTCGATTATTTGCACAGCCCTAGTCACGTCCACTAAAGTCTAATCACACAGAGTACATAAACATGTCTCTTTTGTGGCCGAGGTGCTGGTTCTGCTCTGGTTCCTGTTACCTGCCGTTGAGCTGGATGCGGTCCGCTAGTTTTGAGAGCTGGTCGGGCAGTCGGCGCTGTTTGAGGACTCCTTCAGGACTAACGGAAACCTCACACAGCGAGTAGGTCTCTGGAGCGGCGATGAGGCCGAACTCGCTGACCACATGCGAAACGACATCTTTGGCTGTGGTGTCTTTACTGATGATGATATAGCAGCTCTGCTGGTCGGCCTTGAACACGCGGATCACCTGATCTGGAATGTCTGTTTGTGTCAAGAAGAAAGAGATGGCGTTAAACACAACACAGGTGAAGATGCACACATATTCATAGCAGGGCCTAAACCTCAATGGCTCAATGACGAGATGTTTGGCTCAGATCGGTTTAAGTGGTGGGCTTCCACACTATTTGAAGATGGAGTCTTATTGGTTTGAAACGCAATCCATCACACATGCATTTTCACATGCTTTTGGCCATTGAGAGAAAAACATTTCATGCCACAAACCCCTGATAACGTGCAAATGAGTTCAAAACATGTACATCAGGTGTACTTACAGTAGAAACCAGTCACTTCGAGGAGCCAAGAAACACACAGAGAGTAAAGAAAGAGAGAGAGAGATGACACGTGACACTCCAGAACACATGATTCACCAGCAGACACATCACAACTAATTTAGAGATGGCCTCCACGTTATGAACATCTCTCGTACCGAATATCACGCTGCATATAAAAGGAATAGTTCAGCCAAAAGAGAAAATTAAGTAATCATTTACTCGCCCTTGTGTTGTTCTAATGCTGTATGCCCTTCTTTGATTTTCGGACCAGAAAAGGAGATTTTTTTAGTTTGGGGGGTATAGGATAGGGTTTGGTGAAAAACAAACCAAAATTTTATATATTATTTAACAAATGTCCTGACCTTGACAGTTGGTCTCTGTGCACGACTGTGCGTTCATGAGACTATTAGCACTGCAGTTCACTCCAGTTTGACCAGGAAAAGCACACAATTTGTGAAAAAATCTAAATCAATAAAAATACAACATTAAAAATGCCTAGAAATCCCCAAAAAAGTATGTGTACTTTGTTCACTATGTCTAATTTCTCTGGACAGGAACTCCAATTGTCATGACCGTCAGAATGAGTTGAGAGAAGAAAGCACATGGATTGTATTTCATGTCACATTTTTATTAATCTTGATTTTTCACAGTTGTACACAAAGACCAAAGTCAGGATATTTGTTAAATAATGTGTTAAATTTCAGTTTGTTTTTCACTAAACCCTACCATATACCCGCAGAACACTTGGAATATACAGCGTGTGTCGCATGGGACTTTTCTGCATCTTTTTAAAAAAGCTTGATGCTGATCACCATATACTGCCATTATATAGACAAGTGTGTGCAGGGCAATTAAAAAAAAAATCTCATTTTGTGGTCTGAAAAAGAAAGAAGGGCATACGGCATCAAAACAACACAAGGGTGAGTTAATGATGAAAATAATGATTTTCATTTTTGGTTGAACTCTCTTTAACTTTAGCTGGTTTCCACATTACTGTGCAGAGGATCTGAAACCGGCCGCAAGCTTTCATTTGAACATTTACAGGAATCCTTCCCAGCATCCTCATATATTCTAACTATATCTCTATTTGCATGCAGAAGGTTTTCAGAGCTTGAAATAAGGAGCAAACAGCATCAGGTGCACTCATCTACAGAAGAAACCCTCCATTGTGAAAAAAGCACACTTTGGCATAACTAAAATGAGCACTCAATATGGAAATAATATATTTTAAAAGTGCGAACTTAGTGTAATGATTTCATTCAACTAATTGAGACTGTTTACTTTAGCTGCGGAACATGCTAACTAGCACATTATTAGGAAAGGCGATTTGCAAAGATTCATAAAAAAAACCTTACACTCACTTCTTCTGTAGGTGAAGCTGGATCACGAATGATTCGCGTGAACATAGACGCTTAGACGTTTATGTAGATCGGGGCGCATTCCCTTCACAAACAAACGTAATCCACTGTGTCTTCAGCGGCTCAGATGTCGGGAGTAAATGACGACTGCTATGTTCATTATTACATCCAACAACAAAACACCTCAATCGCTTGTTAGGAGTCATTCTTGTCTGCTCCGGCGTCAAAACAATGGTGGACTGATGACAGTCACTCAGGGCGGGTCTGTGATAAAACTAAAGACTGATGCCGCTGTCAATCAACAATCGTGGGAGGGGCCTGGGTCTGTGTGACATCACACTGGCAGGAATCGGAGAACGGCTTGATTTGGGGGTAATGATTTTAGGAGATTATAAAAATCCACTGGGTGGATTTTAATCATTATAGGGTGGTTGTGTACACACACTGCCAACACACATTTATGTTCAAACAACACGTAAAAGTACATTTTGCATCCGTTGACCCCTTTAAATGCAATTAGATGAACTTGAACTACTTGATTAGATCAACTTAAGTAGGACTAAACAGTAGGAAAATCTGTGAATTCTGAGCAAATATTGTGTTAAATCAAGCTTTGCTTAACTTCAGCTCCTGCACCATACTATGACATGTGTCTATATCAGCTTCGGTGGCTGAACTAGTGCTCCGATGGTGTGATGTCTTACCTGAAGGGTTGGAAAAGTCCAGAGCGCTGGCGGCGGGCTGAAGCAGGTCAGGACTGCTGGATGACAGGCTGCCCGGGATGGGCATTATGGCCACACTGTGCCGGCACTGCTTAGTGCCCACGATACTGTCGTCCTGAGACTGAGACATGCCACCGTCACTGCAGACACAGAGAGAGATGGATTTCATTCAACACTAACATTGCATGTCAATAAACACACACACATACAGATAGATGGAAGAGACTTTCACATTAGGGTTTCTGCAGGTTTTACAAAGGCGAATTTAAGAGCTTTCTAAGACCAAGTAAAGAAATTTCAAGGAATAAAAGAAATGGAACTCAATACATCAGTATGGTCTCTAAATGTCAATGTTTTTTATTAGCATTGAAAATTCATGTTCAATTTGCATCTCAAGTAAATGTGTCTTGATTTAAGAAAATTTTGATTTACGACATTTATTTGTATTGGAAAATGAGACAAAAATTCTGAGGAAGATATGCATGCTTTGCAGTGCATGAAACATTTAATTAAAAAGCATAATTATGAGATAAATTGACAGTCAAAATTTAGATAAAAAGTCATGAGATAAGTCGAAGTTGAAATATACTATACCTTAATAATGAGATTTAAAAAAAATCCAGCTATGACACTAAGTCATAATTATGAGATAAAGTCTGAAGTAGATAAGAAGTCTTGAGATAAAAGACAAAATTATGATATCGTCGTAATTATGAGAAAAAGTAAAAGTTTTGAGATAAAAAGATACAATTTTGACATTTTAAGTCATAATTATGAGATAAAAAGTCATAATGACACGAGTCAATTCAACTTTTCATGTTATATTGCTCTATATTAGACAGGCTGCAGCGATAACTGAATGGATTGTATTTGTGACTTTTTAAATGTAAGACTTTCTGCTCTAATTTAAGTCCTTTTAAGGCCTTAATTTGTGGAAGGGTGAATTGAGACTTTTTAAGACCTGCAGAAACCCCGCACATGTACATTTAGGCCGTTTTCACACTTGATTGACTGAACGGGACGAGCCAGACCGAATGTGGACTAACAACTGGTTAACATCATCCAGGAACTCTTAAGTGATGTCAAAGGAAAAGTGAAGATGCTTTAGAGAAAGTCTTGGAGTAACATAACTAATGAATTTTTTTGCTGTTTACACACACATTCATCTGCTGCAGACAGATTGCAATGTATACAAAGAATGTGAGCTGCTCGCCGATGGCCATGAGAAATGCTGCAAAGTAGAAGCTAACTGTGATGCCAGAAGCCTCAGTGTGAAAGCGCTCTAAACAGACACAAACACAGAATGAACACACACACAATCCATGAATGAGACACGGGGCTGAGATGAGCAAACGCAGCAAAAGAAGGGCAAGAACACGTGACGTCTCAGACGAGAGGAAACAGCGCTGTCTCATGGGTAAACTCCATGCCAATCAGACGCTGACCTTTACACAGACGGGCTAATTAACATGCTGCTGTCTCACTATCAGAGCAGAGAGAGAAGACAGAAGATCTGCTCTGAGAGGACAACACTGCCTCTCCATCCATCACTCGACTCCATGACATTATCCTCATCAACACATCTGATACTGCAGGAAACATCAATACAAGTGCACAAAGAACACCCCAAGCTACTGTAGATACAAAGCACATCACTCAGATACACATGTGTGCAAGCCCATTCCCACCACAAGAAAAACATGCTTTAGTAAATCACAATCTTGAAATTAAAAAGTCAGAACTATGAGATCAAATTTAAACTGACATGCTATGCCATAATTATAAGATAAAAATCATATTAATGAGATAAACTGACATACTAAGTCAAAATTATGAGATAAAAAGTCATGAGATAAGCTGAAATGAAATACTGTATCTTAATTATGAGCAAAAAAGGTAAAATTATGAGATAAGACAAAATTTTGACATTTTAAGTCATAATTATGTCATGACATACCATATCATAATTGTAAGTTAATAAGCATAATGAGATAAACTGACATACGAAATTTTGACATTTTAAGTCAGAGACAAGTCAAGTTATGACATGCTATGTCATTATTATAAGTTAAAAAACATAAATATGAGATAAATTGACATACTAAGTCAAAAATGATAAGACAAAAAGTCACAGTACATACTATATCTTAATTATGAGATAAAAAGTCAAGTTATGACACTAAGTCATAATTATGAGAGAAAGTCTGAAATAGTTAAAAATGCATGAGGTAAAAGTCAAAATCATGATATCGTAATAATTATAAGATAAAGTAAAAATTCTGAGATAAAAAGAAAAATGTTTGACATTCCAAGTCATAATTATGACATATAAAGTCATAATGACACGTTATATGGCTCTATATTAGACTGGCTGCAGTGTTAATTTTGTGTGAAAATATGGTATTTATGTTTTATTTAAAAAAAAATTAAACACTAATTTCATATATATATTGTCTTTCAAAAATCCAAGCACTTTTCAAGCACCTCTTCATAAATATGGATGTTTCCAAAGGTTTTCCAGGACTTACATTTCAAAAAATCTAATTCAGGTACTTTAAGCACCTTGAACAAACCCGGTTTCAATTTTGAGACTGAAAATTTTGGGATTTTTTTTTTCTTACATGGCAGAAATGGGCTTCCGTACACATGGGTACCACACACATGGATGGAGATTTATCGGACTCTGAATGAGACCTACAGAAAGTGTGTGTGAGTACAATCATACATACTACAAAGAATATTACCAGAGCATTACGCTAGTATGCACTGCCAGGTCCTGTGACAAACAGCACTCGTGATTTCACAGAAACAGGAAGCGAAAAGAATGACTACTACACAGGAACTGTGACACTGCACTGTTCATCTACATAAAGAAAACATGTTGACCAATGACAGACAACACCTAACCAGGCACGACATGATACAACTGCTCTCTTCTTCATCAATTACAGCTTTAGTCAACATGTTGCTCGTTTGCGCCATATGATATCTGTTAAGTTGTGCTAGGCGGTTCCGGTCAAAAATCCCCATAACTGTATATTAAATGTCATGCTCTGATTGGCTGCTGGAAATGTTGTGCCTGGTTAGGATGTGATGCAACTCTTTATGAACACACAGAAAAGTGTCAGTGAAATGTGTTGTGAACATGCACAATCAGACACTTGGTATGAGGATGAAACAACATGAAACACAATGTTCACGCCAACGAACTCTTCTGGCAGAGGTCGTGCTGCACTACTCCCAACATGATAACTTTATGATTTTTTCATAAGAGAGAGAGTGTTTCTTACCCAAACAGTCCCCTGTGCAGTGAAGCAGCCATAAAAACAGAAGACACGTGATGTCAACTCGTACGAGCATCAAGCACTCAGGTGAACCACAAACACAAGCCCGTGAAGTGCTCAAACACACACTCACACTCAGTCACACACACCTACCGGGCTCACCTTAACCCACCATCCAAAAATAAAACATATACTGTGCATGAACAACATGAAGCATGTTTTAGGACATTTAGATCATCTACAGTGTCATTGCACCATGTTCTAACTAGACACAGGCGATAAAAGAAATCTACTTGGGAACAGTTTCTATTTCTGCGATATTGCAGCTGGAACGAGAACATACAAACATACAGGTGTGTCCAATGCTGATTATGTGCTTTGTGTAATTCTATTCTATTTCTATTCTATCAACTTGTTTTCTTTTTATTTATTAAAAAAACTAGACCCACTAACACTTGCACCCTCTATTCTATTTACTTGTTTTCTTTTATTTATAAAAAAAACTTGACACTTTAACACTACCATTCTCTTTTCTTTTTCTATTCTATCTACTTGTTTGTTTGTTTTTATTATTATAAAAAATACCTTCACCCTCTAACACTAGCTCAACTAGCTATAAAATAAATAAAAATAATAAAAACCTTGCTTACGTGTACTGTGTTAGACTAACCGGGACTTTTCACAGCACTTACATATTATTGCTCTTTTGTTGGTTTGATTGCATCTATTGTTCTCATTTTCAAGTGGCTTTGGATAAAAGTGTCTACTAAATGATTAAATGTATAATTTTAAATAGGTTTTAGTTATTATTATTTGCATTATTTTAATAACATACAGAAAAAAACAATGGATATTTTACCTTAGGTCTTGAAAATGAAAGGAAACAAGAACTTTCAAACTGTGTACAAACTAGTTTTATACAAACTAGGATTGTATGTATTTTGAAATAGTATGTATTTTCATAAATGGTTTAATTTGATTATTTTATGACAGTTGTGCACATTTTCTCAACAAAATCATACAAGGGTGTCCAAACCTGAAGAGTCCAGCTCAAACACACCTGCCTGAAGTTTTCTCAATAAATGAATTATAACATCTGGATTAGGGCTGTGAAAAAAAAAATTTGAATTTCAAATAAACGTTGCGTTTGAATTTTAGGCGTGCGTCAGGCAGCCTTATCAGTGGCACACAAGATGCGATGTGTTATTGCATTTAAATGCTTTTTTTTAGCCTATCCAGTTGAACACACTAGATGTGGCGCTGCTACGTTGTTCATTCAAAACATAGCAGAAAAAGAGAACATCAATGCGGAGATGTTGTTGTTAACGTCAAAACTGAAACCAAGCCGTTCACACAGAACGCATATTTATCGCATTTTCGAGAGGGACATCTATCACCGTTGCACTCGCGTCTTACACAAGAGAGCCGCATGTTTAGAAAGCCATGCGAAATTAATGTAAGTTCAACTTTTAAAAAACATGTCTCGAGACTTTACAGCGTTTTTTACCCCATCCCTTATAAGTACTAATAAGCCAATATGTTAGTATAATGCATACTAATACGCAACTATTTAACAGTGAGAATTGGTCCCTCAAGTAAAATGTTACCAAATGTATTTCTATACAGTTTTTCACAATACACGCAGTTTTGTAGCAGCTTCACAGAAAGTCGTACTGTTATGTCTATAATGCCTTCGAGTTTTTTTAGTGCTAGGTGATAAGATGATATTTAACGATGATACGAGTGATCCGCCGGGTTTATCTTGCTGTATTGTATTTATAATGCTGTCTAGCACATATATCAGTAATTTGGACACATGTTTGAGCATTCCAAGACAATTAAGAGATTTAAATGTTGGTTGGTTTGTTCTAATAAAGTGCCCCTTTATACTTTTTTGGATGTTACCTTTCAGATAATTACCATTCTGTCTGTGAATGCAAAAGGTCTGCATAGTTTCAAAGATCAACGTGCACAACAACTGGAGTTATTGTGTTCCAAAATAAAGAATCAGGGATTAAAAAAATGCTCATGCAGAATAAAACATTAATGTGCTTTATAAGTACTAATAAGCCAATATGTTAGTATAATGCATACTAATACACAACTATTTAACAGTGAGAATTGGTCCCTCAAGTAAAATGTTACCAAATGTATTTCTATACAGTTTTTCACAATACACGCAGTTTTGTAGCAGCTTCACATAAAGTCGTACTGTTATGTCTATAATGCCTTCGAGTTTTTTTAGTGCTAGGTGATAAGATGATATTTAACGATGATACGAGTGATCCGCCGCGTTTATCTTGCTGTATTGTATTTATAATGCTGTCTAGCACATATATCAGTAATTTGGACACATGTTTGAGCATTCCAAGACAATTAAGAGATTTAAATGTTGGTTGGTTTTGTTCTAATAAAGTGCCCCTTTATACTTTTTTGGATGTTACCTTTCAGATAATTACCATTCTGTCTGTGAATGCAAAAGGTCTGCATAGTTTCAAAGATCAACGTGCACAACAACTGGAGTTATTGTGTTCCAAAATAAAGAATAGATTCTGAACTGCCTGAAACGAGTCGCCAGTGATTGTGTCATTGACATGTCTAAAAGACACTGTTTTCTGTGCTGCGAAAGCAAAAACACTTTGCAGGATGAAGGATGAGGATGTGAAGAGTCAGCGGTTAAATTCATTTTTACATTGATCCTTGACTGTTTCAGGCACTGTGAGAACAGAGGTGATGCTGCAATGCATATTATGAGAAAATTAAAGTGGTGTTTAACCTCAGGTGCATGTAAACCTAATGTAGGAGACCTCCAAAACAACATTAGGAACCTTTAAGACAGCATAATAGGGGCACAGATTTAAATGTTGGTCGGTTTGTCCAAGCTAGTGTAAGTGATTAATAAAAGTATTAATTTTAAAGTCAGGGGTGTGTGTGCATCTCCATGCATCTGCATGGTAACAGCTGTTGTTTCCATCTACAGATTTTATTTGAATTTTGATATAACATAAATTTCAGAATGGAGATGCAATTTCTAAAATGTGCATGGGCATGTATGTGCTCGCTTGAAGCAGATAAATTATTTATTTGGTAAGCAAACATGCTCTTAAACTACAATGGAATCACATTTACTGAATAAGTTGCAAGATGCATATCAAAAAAAGTCATGTGATTGCGTTTAATACAACAGCAATTCCAACTTTCATTGTCATAAGTGATCATTTTAATCTTTTGCACACATGGGGTGGAACCGTTGCTTTATTCGCCAAATGTTTTTCTGAATTTTTGTGGTGCTTCAGTTTGTTTGTTTTTGCATTGAATTAAATGAGCAGCTCAGATGGAAACAGCTACTTATCGATCAGACTAGATGACGTCATGGTGCTTCCACAAAATGATCAATATAAGAATGATCTGTGACATACCGAAGATGTTGGTCTTCACAGTAAGAGAGAGGTGTGTGTTGTTCTTCAAGATATCCATGGCTTTGGAGTACGAGATGTTCTCAAAGTTCTGCCCATTGATCTCCATGATCTGAGGACAGACGAGTCGCAATGTGTTCATGCTGAAATACTTCTATGGTAAGTGTTGTTCAGTGCAGAGCGCGCTCTTGTAATCTGTACCTGATCTCCACGCTTGAGCCCTGCTTCTGCAGCTTTACTGGCCTCCTCCACAGTCTCCACGAAGATGCCGAAGCACCGCTCACTGCCGCCCTGAACCGTGAAGAACAGCGGAGACTCTCTGGATGGCTTCTGCAGCGTGATCTGACGACACTTGGCTTTAGCAGCACACGCGATGTTCAGCAGACGCAGATGACCCTTCATTTTCTGAAACACAATTCAATGAAACGCATATTTAAGAAATATATCCACTCCTATTTATTTATGATACTGTACATATGCTCATAATCTAAATTGCAACTTAATCATTACAAATGCATAATTACAAATATATTTAAATGGCATTACAGATTATTTCATAACAGGGGTTTATCATATGCTTGTCAGTACATTCAGCAGTACACCATATTTCAAAAACAATAATAGAAATTATTATGAAATTGCATATATATATAACAAAGAAGTACTTAAGTCTTACTTAAGTGGGTCAAAAAGCAACTAACAGTATTTAATATAAATGCAGTATATAAACTATAATACATTTTCATTTAACAATTTAACTAAAGTGACATTCGTTCTTTTAAAGTATATCAGAGTGCTCTTTTTTTTAAAGTATGCTACTTCTTTTTCACAAGGATTTCCAGGTCTAGAAATCCCTGATATGTCCATGTTTTTCTCGACCGTAGGAACCTTGTTTTATTGAATAAGTTTGTCTGATGTTGACACTCACCGAGGAGTCCAGTAACTTCTCAAAGTCCTCCAGGAACTGAGTCATGACCGGATCGCCTTCAAAGTCGTTGAAATGATTGTTTACCCACAACAACACGATTCTCGTCACCTGCGAGATCCCAAAATATGTCAAGACATGCAATCTATTATTTACCACAAAAACAACACTGTAAGAAACAGAAAGACTGATGCACACACATACTGACCGTGTCTCTGAGACTGTCCACTTTGAACCATTCCAGAAGTTTCTTGCCCACTTCCATGGGGCTGGACAGGAAGGTGCGGTACGTCAGGAGGAAGTCCTCAATGTAAGTGGGATCCACCACTGACGGCTCCTCCACCAGGTGCATGATCAGACGCTCAGGAGTGCCCTGATACAAACAACACAAGAGCACATGATAGAGAGCATGCATGCAGATAGGAACCTGCAGACAGGGTGGTTTCTATGCAGTTGCTAGGGTCTACTCTGTAACAGTGCTGGGTAGATTACTTACAAATTGTAGTTCGTTACTGATTACAGATTACATGATGAAAGTTGTAGTTAGTAACATAATCTAGGTTTGTCATTGTAGAGAATGTATTCTGACTTTTTTATCTAACTTGTTTTAAATTTCTATTAAACTTCTATTAAATGTAACATACTGATATAAAAAAGCAAATAGAAAGAAAATATATTACATTTTTTTTATATCAACATCATAAAATGCATTAAACATTACATTACACTGGGGGTTTCCCAAACTGGCCTAATGTAAGAACTGCAGAGGGACACTTGAACACTAATGTTATATTTGTTTACCTGCATGTCAATGTGACCATTAACCGACATCAGAGAACTGTAAACATGCGAATTGTTAAATTATTTGAATATAAACTTCCTCAGAGATATTTCAAGTAAATATTTTATTTTAATGGTTTGGCTGACAAAAGCGTTTGGGAATCCCTGCATTAAATGAACAAACATTAATGAACATCAAAACACGCCCAAAGTCTTCCAGGTCTGATATATTTTAGTCCAGACTTTCAGAATCAACCGTTACTGAAGGTCACTGGATATGATGATGAGTCATTGTGTTTCACAGCTATACATCACCGGTGTTTTTAACATTTGTGAATATAATTCAAGATAAATGGTATAACACACGGTAGGATTTTTGTAATCCATAAAAAAATAACTGTAATCTGATTATGAGCATTTTAAAATGTAATATACTCTATTTAAGACTGCTTGATTTTTAAAAATCAGATTACGTAATCCAGATTACATGTAATCAGATACAACACAGCACTGCTCGTAACTGATGCAGACATCACGAAGAGCAGCCGTTCTCCAGAGGATCAGAAACCGACAGCAGCCGACCTGAAACTGAACGCCTCTGCTCCGCGAGCTCTGCCACCACAGATCTGACGGGTGACGGAATGCACTGCTTCATACCAGACCAATGGGAAATGCTCAGGCTGCAAAGTCCAGTCTAGTTGAACTCACACAGTTGAGTCCTCTGCACAATGTGACTTTGCTGCAGCCTGGAATTGAACTGCTGGTTTCGTCTGGTCAGAGGAGAACTGGCCCCCCGACTGAGTCTAGTTTTTTCTCCATTCTATCACTGATGGAGTTTTGGCCTCTGGCTTGCTTAGTTGGGGACACTTCATTTCCAGCGATATCGTTGGCTTAATTGCACAGATACTATTTAAACTGAACTGAGCTGGATGTTGACATCACTGAATTAAATGAGGAACTGCCTTTAACTGGAAATTGAGTGCTTACTATTGTCATTTTGCATCGACACAAAATTTTCCTATTTAATACTGTAAAGTTGCTTTGACACAATCTGTATTGTTAAAAGCGCTATATAAATAAAGGTGACTTGACTTGACTTGACAGAAACCCAAGCCACTACAGGTCAACAGGGTAACATTTTAAAACTTCACCATACTTCCCCAGTTGATCAATCACAGCATATTAAGACATTACATTTACAAGTTTTTATAAATGTCATATGTAAAGGAGACTTTATCTAATTAAATTATGTATGCACTAATTTGCATACATTTCCAGAACTCTGAACATTGGATAAAAAACAGGTTCAAAGTTCTTGCTTGATTTTGTTGACATATTAAAGGTTTTTGCAGAGAGGATTTTTGGATTAATCTATTTATCACTCCGTAAATCAAAAAATACTGTCAACAGTCAGAAAAAAATAATTGCTCATCATGTTTTTAGATATAAAATGTTATATACAGTACATCAGGTGAATACTGAGCAAAGGGTCTGAATACTTAGGACCATGTGATATTTCAGTTTTTCTTTTTTAATAAATCTGCAAAAATGTCAACAATTCTGTGTTTTTCTGTCAATATGGGGTGCTGTGTGTACATTAATGAGGAAAAAAATTTACTTAAATGATTTTAGCAAATGGCTGCAATATAACAAAGAGTGAAAAATTTAAGGGGGTCTGAATACTTTCCGTACCCACTGTATATGAACAAACCCCTCTATAAAAAACTTCAGAATAGAGATAGGAATAAAATGGTAGTTTGTTGTATGTAAGAGCTGCTGAAGTGGAGAAATAGCTCACAGCCTTTAAAGATATGTACTGAAACCTACAGATATAGATAAAGATAAAGCATAAAATGTGTATTTTGGATGTTAAGTTAAGTGAGGTTTTAAACCTTGATCTGATGTGATCAAGGGCCATCTATACCAAGGCTTTACCTTGGGTTAGTGTCTCGATGTGATCAGCATTAAACCGACTGCTGACAAGACCTTACATCAGCAGCCCAAAACAATCATCGATTCAAAACTACAGTGACTCTTCCTCACCTTAATGACAATGTGGCCCTTCCTGGTGCCGCTGCGGTCCAGCTCTCGGTGCTCCTTCACCATGACGATCTCGCCCTCCTCCTCCACCTTGTGTGTGTTCTTCTCCACATGGTTGAGGATGCGGCAGTAGTCCTCTTGTGCGATGCACACAAACTGGTCCACAACAACATGAGGAAGAGCAATGAACTGATAGTAGAGCAGGAGGTTAGTCTGCACCACACACGGGTACTCATAGCACCAACTCATGAGTGGAGCGCGCTCAGTGCAACGCGTCTAAGAGGATGTGCGTGAGCGCCGGACTCACGCCGTAAGAGGAAGTTAAGGTGGAGACTTTATTTTAGGGAATCAGCAGTGTTGCTATATCAGGAGGCATTTGCATGCGGACCCTGACCACAGCACTGTGTGACATGACCGTGATAACACTGCTCACTCCCAACTCTTGACTGAAGTGTAAGTATGCAGACATTTAACGGGACATGAACCGCCCTATAATCAGATATCCCGCAACATTTGATATTCCTATCTCTTGGACTTCATTAAGCACTGATCTGTTTGTCGTTAAGTTGAAAACCAGCACTAGTCAATGTCAAAATGTTTGAGATGGCCAATCAAATCAAAGAAGGCAGGCTTTTCTGTTCACAGAAGTCGAGCATGATTTCCAGTGTGATGCCTCAAAGTGTACGAGATGAGATGTACGTTTCATGACAGAAATATTTAACACCTGACATTTATATACAGTGATGCAAACTAACTGACTTTGAATTGAAAATATATCGCTTATTACATGTGGTTCATGTAATGTAACATGCAATTGAATGCGTCATTTGAAAAAACATTACATTTACGCATTTAACAGAAGCTACTTGCATTTCATTCAAGGTATCGGTTTTTATTGGTTCACGCATTCCCTGGGAATTGAACCCATGACCTTGTTTATTATTTAACTTTCAGTCAGTTCCTTTCACTAAGCTATTAAGTGATTTCAGAAGATTTTAGCATGCAGCTTCTTCAAAATGTTTCCATGATCATTCAATCATTCAGGTTTGGATCAACTTGAGGGTTAGTACTTCCACAAACATTTTATTTCAACAAGAAAGGTGCGTGACGAGGATGTAGAGGGAAACTACGAGGGTTTGTGAAACTGACATGTGCGTTGTGATGCAGACCAATGAGAAGTTCACAAAGGTGGTTTGTGCTGCACATTAAAGGGATAGTTCACCCAAAAATGAACATTCACCTTCATGTTGTTCCAAATGTCAAAGTTGTTTGGACCCCAAAGACTTTCAAAATATCCTCCCTGCTTTTGTATTTTTATGTCTGACTTAGAATTTTGACTTGTCTTATAATTAAATTTTTTTTTTATGTTAGCTTCAACTTTGTCATAATTTTGTCTTTTATCTCATAATTGTTACTTTTTATCTCATAATTATGACAGTGTATTATGTTTTCAACATTATCTCAATTACGACTTAAAGGGATAGTTCACCCAAAAATTTTAATTCTGTCAGTAATTATCCACCCTCGTGTCGTTCCAAACCCGCAAAACCTTCGTTCATCTTCGGAAGACAAATTAAGATATTTCTGATGAAATCCGAGAGCTCTCTGACCCTCCATAGACAGCAAGGATCCTACCACGGTCAAGGCACATAAAAGCAGTAAGGACGTCGTTAAAATGGTCCATGTGACATCAGTGGTTCAACCGTAATTTTACTAAGTTACGAGATTACTTTTTGTGTGCAAAGAAAATGAGGGAAAACCACTGAGGGTCTTACTGGTTTGGAACGACATAAGGGTAATTAATTACAGAATTGAAATTTTTGGGTGAACTAACCCTTTAACATGACATCATTTTGACTTTTTATCTCATAATTAATACATAGTATTTCATCATTTTGAATTTATCTTATAATTATGACATAGTTTGTCATAATTTGGAATTTATCTCATAATTACAAGATAACTATCTCATAGTACATTGATATAATTGATCATAATATATATATATATACATATATATCATTATGAGTTAGTACATCAAAAAAATGTATCTCATAATTTCTACTTATTTCATAACTATGCAATACGTTATAATTTCTGCTTTATCTCATAATTATGATTTAATATGTCAATATAATATGTTAATATGTTTTTATCTCCTAACTGATACATAGTATCTCATAATTTCGACTTTATCTTATTATTTTGACAATTTTTATGTCATAATTACAAGATAATTATATCTCATAGTACAATAATATAATTTATTTATATATTTATTTATAATTTGTGTGTATATATATATATATATATAACTTAGTATGTCTAAATGTTCTTTATTTCTATTTCATAATTTCAAAGATTAATGAATGTTTAGAAGAATTTTTCATTGGCAGTTTGTTAACTAATGAATTAATTAATAGAGCCTTAATGTAGCCTAAAGTGTGACCAAACAATAAATAATCCAAACATTTTCAAACAATATCTAGGGCATGTTGTAGTCCAGATTAAAATGTAAAAAAAACCTTGAAAATAAATAGCCTATTAAGTCTAAATATTTAAGTATTCGGTGCTGTGATGAACACTGCTGCGAATACAAAAATCTGAATGGCTGTTTAAACCATAGATATGTATCTATGGTTTAAACCATTTAAATAAGTTTTTAGAAAGTAGTGCAGCTGCTTAGTTTACGGGGTTTCCGGGGTAACGGCTGCATTTCTGCAATTTAGCGCCATCTGCTGTCAGAGAGAGAGTGAATGTGCACTTTCATTCAGAGCGTCTCTCACGTGTTCAGCCATGCGCTTCTTATCCGTGCTTGTTTACATCAGAGAGCGCATGCGTCTTTAACGCAGCATACAGCGCTGTTGTGCATTGTGACCAGTTGATGGGGAAAATATTCTTAAAATGCCCACGATAACAATATCATGCATATTCATTACCGTGATATATCGCATTACCGAATATCGGCACATGTCTAATTATGACATTGTATCTCATAATTCTGATTTATCAAAGCATGATTTTTTTCTTACGTGGCAGAAATGAGCTTGCATACATGCTCTCACCTGGCAGTCATCTCCTTTAGTGCACACGACCCCGTTCATGAACTGTCTGTCTAGAGATGGTGAGATTCCGAAGCTGTTGCCCATGCACAGGATCTCCGTTCGGCCGTCTCCATAGCTGATCTCTACAGAACCATTCAGGATCACGTACCACAGGTCCAGCTGCAAACACAACAGTGCACTATGAAGATAGACGATAGACGTCAAATGAGTTTTATGCATGTCAGATCGGTTGTTACAGACGCTGGTATTGTGGTAAACAACAGTTGAGATGGCATTCCAGGGATCATGTCGATAAGCTCTAGACATTTTTACTAAGGATAAGGATAAGGATTCATCTAACAGCAGAAATAAATGCGATAACAGCAGTCAGTGAACTCTGCATGTCTCTGTGCGAATGAATAGCGTAGTTTCATCTGATACACAAACTCAAACACACGTGATGCTCACGGTGATGCTCCACAGCTGCTCTGGGAGTCACTTCACAAGCTTTTCACCATTTAATTTGAGAAAAACTACCGTAAAATACACACTGACACTGAAAGTAAAACTGAAAGACCTTTACATGAACCCATCCAAATAAAAGTCCAGTTTAACGTAAAGAAATTATGACAGAAATATATTACCATTGTATACTAAAAATGTAAATCTCAAGTAATAATATCTATATTGTATGATATGGAAATAAATATTGCGATAATATTTTTGGCCATATCGCCCAGGCTGAAAAGGTGAAGTGCCTCCGTTCATGTGAAAATGTGTGTGTGTGAATCTGCTGAAATATCTTGACCTTTGCTTCCACTCCGTTTGTTTCTGTCTCCTTCTCATCCACACAGAAGCGTGTTTGTCTCGTTGACCTTTACAGTAGCCCACACACAAATAACACGGCTAAACGTCTCTGTGCGCTTCCCCTCTCAGCTCTTCTTTAAACTTATTAATGACATGCTTCAAAGTGTTTTCCTGTGGTCCGATATCTAACATAGTTACTCGGTTTCATGACAGACTGCTCAACCTCAAAAAAAAAACACATAGTGCTCTTTAGAGGGCTGCATTGTCACCACCAAGTCACTGATGTACTGTAAAATCTCAAATGATTCTCATCTTTCTCTTAATATAAATAAACCGACCCTGTCTAAAATAACAGTCCAGATCTCTGAATAAAGGAACGTCAGATCATCACAGATCAATGTTTTGTCAGTTTTGGGGCTCATGACTGTGTGAGTAAGATTTGTTTTTATGCCATACATTTGCATTTAAAGCACTTAAATCGAATTCATAAAGCGTGTGAATGGTAATTGAAATCGATTCTACCAGCCCTACTAGTACTAGTGATGCTGACATGGCATGTCTCTACCTCCTGCTTGTCCTGAAGAATGATGGTGCCTTCCTGTTCCACCACCTCGAACATCATGACCCGACACAGCTCCCTCCTCACGGACATGGTCATGTTAGCGAAAGCCGGCAGCTGATGCATGAACTCCAGGAGCTGCTCTGTAGAGAGAGATGTTGATGAGTGCGATGTTTGCTTTTCATTTGGACTAAAAAAAGCACAAGAAGTGATTACTGTGTATGCAGTAAATGAACTCCGTTAGCGTTACCCTATTTGGCATTGTGACATATTTCGTGACAACTATGTGCAACCCCCTCTTTGTCCTGATTTTCAAAAATGATGCTGATGAAAATTCAGCTTTGCATCACAGGAATAAATTATATTTTAAAGCATATTAAAATAGAAAACTGTTATTTTAAATTGCAATAGTATTTCACAATATTACCTTTTTCTGTATTTTTGATCAAATAAATGCAGCCTTGATGAACAGAAGAGACTTCTACAGTTCTAAAAAAACAAGACTTCATTTTGCATCTCAAGCAAATGTATCTCGATTTAAAGGATGTTTAGATATTTGAATCCGAAAGCAATGCAAAAACACAGAGGAAGACATTAATTTAATGGATATAAATTTTTAGCAATGCGTGCAACATTTAATGCCACGCCTTTATCAATCGGAGACTTTCCGCTCTGATTTAAGACCTTTTTAGGCCTTAATTTGTGGAACGGTGAATGTGCACTGACTATCAACTTAAGACCTGCAGAAACCCTGTTGTCTGTTCTCCTTCATCAACAACCAAGCGCTTTACCGATGTCGTCATCGGTCCGATCCACCGCATCCTTCTCTAGACACTCTCGCACCAGATCTCTGCCCAGAAGAGCCTCCGAGGAGCGCTCGATATCTTCATCCTCCTCCTCTTCCTCAGAGTCCACAGGAGCTTCGGGGAGGCCGGACAGATCCACGTCTCCCATCTCGCTCTCGGTGGCCTGCGGAGGAACAAACAGCATTGATTGCGGCTGCTCAGTTTTATGAAAGGAAATCACATTGGACTCCTGCTTTCACTGCTATTCAGCACTTCCTTTCTCATTAATGTCAATGTAATCTCTGCTAAGAAGGGACTTTTGAGAAACTTTCACGAGATGCTGTGGATGCAAATATCAGGTCTGACGCTGCGTTTGCATGCTTTCCTGTCATGAGCCGCATGTGCAGCGCTGCATATATTAAACTGCATCTCATAGCACTGTGTCTGTCATGTGTTTAGTGGCTTGTAGTGCATGTGTGTAATGAAGATGAATGGAGTGTAACACCTGTTCTGGAACTGATATCAGACCTTTCATTAAAAGGTTACATTAAAGATTTGACTTGTGTTCTTTCATCCAAACCTATGAATATTCAGCAGTGTAAAAATACTAATGTAAATGCACATCATGCATGTGAACAATGCGATATATAACACACAGTACTCAGTACACAGTACACAGTACACACAGTACTGATCAGATCAGTCACTAATCTATGATCATCGGTCCAAAAAATATGTATGAAAGAAACTGCAGATAGCAGAGCTGCAGTTGAGACAGGAAGGACAGAAAAGGCACATATTACTGAGAAAGTCAAAGAGGAACCAGAACTCAATAGCGTGTCACAAGCACCTTCTGTGCGTTTCATACAGAGACTCGAAGTGATATGTGATATTAAATTAAATGCATGCATTTAGCAGACACTTTTATCCAAAGCGACTTACAGTGCATTTAGGCTATACATTTTTTATCAGTATGTGTGTTCCCTGGGAATTGAACCCACGACCTTTGCGCTGCTAACGCACTGCTCTACCACTAAGCCACAGGAACATATATACGATATGATATAGTTTACAAACAAAAATGCTGATTGAATTAGAACACATGGCACTATTACCCATTATTTGTTGTTATTCAAATGTGTCATTTGTTTTTGTGTGTTACAGACAACAAATAGTTTTTCTTCAAATGTGAAATGCATGTATGTATTTTCTTGGATTGAAATATATGGAGGGCATAATATATATTTAAATGCTTATTTACAATAAGGTTCATTCATGAACAATACTTCTACAGCATTTATTATTCTTAGTTAATGTTCATTTCAGCATTTACTAATGCATTATTGAAATCACAAGTTGTGTTTGTTAACATTAGTTAATGCACTGCAAACTAACAGGAACAAACAATGAACAACTGTATTTTTATTAACTAACATTAACAAAGATTAATAAAGAGTGTAATAAATGTAGTGTTCATTGTTCGTTCATGTTAATTAATACATTAATGTTAGCGAATGACACATTGTAAAGTGTTGTCATATATTTTCAAAAATATACAGAAAATAGTAAAAATATAAATATTGGTACAAAATATATTCACGTAAATATTTTTTGAATTATATTTGAGCAAATATATTTTTGTATATTTTAAATTATACATTTACAAAAAAATATATATATTTTTTTACCATATGGGAATTTTTTTTCCCACAATTTAGATACTTTGAACTGTCAGTTCAAAATACTGATTTAATAATTCCTTTGAGCAATCAAAAATGCTCACAGAAAAAGGTTCACGTACTTTCATGACTATAATCAAGACTGAGCACTGAGCGCTCGTCAGGTGATCAGGAGAAGAAGTGGCCGTACCTGGTAGATGTCTGATAGGCTGCTGCTCCCTGAGTCACTGGCGATGCTGCATCCTGATTGGCTGGGAGGCATGTGCATCTGCTGGTGGGCGTGGTCTGTCAGGTGCATCTTGCTGAGGTCACCAGGAAGCTGTGCAGACAAGACAGGAAGTGAGAAATGTTGAATCGAGGACATCATGTATAATGCAGCTCATGAGTGACCTGTCCGCCGCTGAATGTGAGTGAGGAAAATACGCCAGCTTCAAAAAAGGCCTAAAACTCTAAAGGCCTGTTTACACAAAGAACGACTACTTTAAAGCTAGGGTATTCAATTAAAGTTTCAAGAGGTCCGGTCTCTATATTTCCTTCCCAGCAGAGGTACGGACAATTCGGTTTAGGAAAAATTATACATTTCTATCTGTGCAGCAGCAGTGCTTTGTAAAAGGAAAAAATACTAAACATCAAAGATGAGGATATTGGGCCCCAAGAGCCAAAGCAACTGATGTTTCATCAGCTTTCATAAGTGTAACAGTGTTTCCTATGAAATTCTCTTAACATGCTGATTAGTCATGCTATATGTAGATGAAAAAAAAAAAACTTTTAGTCACAAGCCAGGCATATTAGATCTGTCGGAGTGTGACAGATAAAAATAATTTATGCAAAAGCAATTCATGTGTTTGCTGCATTCTTGCAGTGTTTTAGCAAAAGTGTTTCACTGTGTTTAAATGCAACTGTTGTTAAAATAAACACCATCATCTGAAGCTCTTTTAGCGCTTTCCATTTATAGCAGGGGAGAGAAGCAACACACACACACAGAGCGGAAAGGGTTTGAATAAAATGCGTATCATAAACAAGCCTGAGCACTTGTGGTGTGTACTGCTCTGCCCACACACCTTAGGATGTTACAAATGCAAATATTTATCATCTTTTCTTAAATTTTTCCATGTAAAATCATCACGTAGTTGATCAAGAGTTAAACAGAGGAGCTGTTGATGAGAGTGCAGGTGCAGGTTTCATCCTGTGAATGAGCCGGACAGCTGTGTAAAGGGCATCTGTGATTCGTAACTGTGGCATAAGGGCAAACGAGAGGCGCTGCTAATTGCTGCAGTCATACTGTGCTCGCTCACACGAGGGTCTCTCCCCGGCGCCTCAATTAATGATGCCGGGAGATTAAATATGAATGAGCCAGACTCCAGGATTCACGCACGACTGACGCACTGATCACCTGGATGGAAATGCATGGTATTCACATAAACGGTGTGTTTGAGCCTCACTGTAATACTCAAAGATACACATACTGTGGCTAATTAAGAAGGAAGAGATGTTTTTATGAGGAGGCTTTATGGGACATAACTCAGGGGTGCTGAGAGACGTTGTCCTTGTGGGAACTCCACTGAATTATTCATGCGTCCCACCACGCTCACGTCTAGACTAGACAACATTCAGACTGACCATCACTTCAACAGGACGCTGTGTGTGTGATGCACTCTGTGTTTTCTACCATTTTATATGTTGGATGATAGTGATGGTTTAGTATTAGATAAAAAAATGCCCTCATTAAAGGTAAAATGCAAGTGAAAACAATATCCAGGGCAAACGCTGGCCTTAATACAACAGTTAAAAGGGTAAAGCAGCAGACAGAGTTTGAAAGCAGAAATGTCGAGCTGCATTACCTGAATTAAAGTGTAAATAAAATTCACATGTGCAAGTCGGGCAGTCCGTCACAGGTTCAGAATAAATGAAAAAATGTTTACACTTCTCATAACAACATAATGTCTCAATCATTGTGTTTTGTGATATCGCTTTGTAATGCAATGTAATGAAGTATATATAGTCTGTTGCGCTGTGTGTTTCAGAGAGAAGCGCAGCACTGTTTTCATTTACACATGAGCAGCTCATGTTTGATGTCAGAATGTTTATTTTTGGGTGAACCATCCCTTTAAGGTCTCCATGCTTTTTCTATAAAGAAACAGAATGTTGAAGGAAATTCTAGAAAATAATAATTTTGAACTTTTTGCAAATAATATTTGAAAATATGCTCACTTTTACTCTTATTTGTAAGTTCAGTATGTCGAAAACCCAAAATATTTCATGTCTAGTCACATTCAGTTAGGAATTACATGAAGCACGTAAATGCTATATATTTTCAATTCAAAATGGCAAAATTTGAGAAAACGTAAAGTAGTTTGCATCGATAGATTTTATATTGGGATATAATAATAATATATATATATTTTTTTGTATAGTGCCTTTAAAAGGGTTCTTTCTCAAAGCGCTTTACAACACAAGCAAACACAACAATCCAAATTAGAACACAAAAATACAGAATGACAATCAGTTAAAAGCATGTCGGAAATAGAACGGATATGAACATTTCTATCGTAAAACAGCTGTGAAATATTAAATGTTTCACTACTTCCAGTTAAAACTGATGCTTCGTGCTGGGATTTGTGCTTTGCCTCAGTGAACTCTGTAAACTCCGCCTACTTTTCAATCATTTTGACATTGACGAGCGCTGTTACACCCAGCACAGGCAGACCAGCCTAAAAATGTAACGTTTAAACCTTTCTGTCATCCTGACAACAAACAAATAACTGCATAATGGAGGGCAGCAGAGCAGCGCAAGATTCTCAGATTTTGGAGGGACAGTTTGGCCATTTCTAATTATTGGGGGGAACTATGGTGGATACGGACCTGATTTAATGTTTAAAAATTAGGGAATTAAGACAGCCAATTGCCGTACTGTTATTTACTCTATAAATACTATATTTTCTATCTTACAGTCAAATACTACAATAGTACTATTTCTTATTTTGAAAAATATTTTATTTAGTAATACTACTACTAATAATAATAATAATAACGATCCCTACAAACGAGCATAGCAAGCCTGAAACATTTTTAATTAAACTGCATTTTAAATTGCCACTTTTATTGGAAAAAACACAACTAAATTTTACAGTAAAAACAGCTTAAGCATCTAAGCAACTGCATAGCAATACCCCAGCAACCACCTACAACAACTCATCATGCCAGAACGTTTTGCAAGGGCACAACAGACAGACAGACAGATGGTATGTTTGTATTAAATGCAGTGCTATCCAGGGGCAAACAAGGTGCCAACTTACACCATGTGAGCACTGTGAACAGAGCAGCCATATGGCACCCTGCCCTATCCGTACGCTCCACGAGCAAAGCCCAAGCTCTTCCTTACAAAGAGACACTCGATGTCAGACCTCCTGAACCTAGAATCAACTGCATGACGTCACACACTCATGGCATGATTAAGGCTGATCTGATCCCATCTGCCTTCACACAACAAGTATAGGAAGATCAAAAGCTAATGATTCGGGATGGGAATCACAGATGCGTCCCGAACACACCGAGTACACACCAGCAAGTGTCTGCTGCGGAGGTTTTATAAAGGGAACACTGTCCTTCTATGGATGAGCGAAAACCAAAGCATATATTGATGGAAACAGATGACTATAATGGGCACTGAAGGACTGAAGGCCAATGTTTAACTTATATACGGCCTGAGAAAACCATGTTCTTGATGAGAACAGGCCATCTTTCTTCAATTGGTTTTACAGTTTACCTTGTTGCTGTTGTGAACTCAGTCATAAAAGACTATTTAGTCCAAAGCATCACTCTTTACATGTGGAGTCGTTTCAGAGAGCAAGCAACCTTTCTTTCAAATAAAAGATGTGCTCTTACCATCTGAATATTATCCAAACAGATGCTGAGAGCTTTTAGCTGCTCTATCCTGGGAGGTTTAGGGTGTCATGTGGACAGGAAGGTTAGGCGATCAGGATCAATACACTCAGCATTAGCCTCGACACGTTCCGTTCCATCGTTAAATTATGAGTCAAGGCAAATGCTGCACTTTGAGAGAGCAGCTTACCTCCACTTCCTGTTACTCACCAGATCTGCTGACTGAAAGAAAATCTATGAGTGAAAGCGTGACCATCGGCAAAGCACAACAAAAACAAAGGTCAGAGCCTCCAAAATTTTTACCATCGGGTTTGGTAAATGTTACATACAGAAGTGTATCGGATGCCGTGCACGTGCTCAAGGAAGTTGGACATAGTGCTGAATTAGAGGTAAAAAATGATATAAATACTGTTCGGTTTCTCGCACAAACCGATCGTTTCGTGTGTTAGGACATCAATGTGTCGTCACGAGCCGCAGGGTTTATGAACCTTCCCAGGAGTTGCTGGCCAACCAAAATTACTCCAAGAGTGCAACGGCGACTCATCCAAGAGGTCATAAAAGAATTACTTTTTTATGGAGTAACGCAATATTGTAATGCATTACTTTTTAATGTAACTTTCCCCAACACTGCGTTTGTGTACCTAAGACTGTTTTTATCTTGACAGTGCCTTGAAAATGCAACGCTCATGGCGCAAGACTCTTAAAAAACCACAGAGACGTGACACACACTGCACGTGTACTTCTGAAATCAGCTGTGGAAGTGGTGGTATTCGACGCTTTTGCAATTATTCCAACATTTAACAGATTAGTCAAGGTCTGTACAGACTCTTTCAATCGGACAGAAATGTTACTCTGAGCAACGTAACTAGATCCTTTTTTCTGATGCACGCAAAAACTGAACGTAACCCATAACAAAGAGCTAGAGAGTCTTTTTGCTCATATAATTAAAACAGCAGGATTTGAAGTCAGTCTGCACATGATATCTGCATGGAGAACAGCCCGGTCCTGTCCAGCGTCCCTCTACACTCTTAAAAATAAAGGTTCTTTAAGGGAGATTTCACAGGAATGCACTTAAAGAACCTATAGTGCAATGGAAAAATTGCATGGATGTTAAAGGTTTTCATGGAACCATGGACGCCAATAAAGAACCTTTATTTTAAAGAGTGGACTGTCAGTGCAGGCTCTTATTAGTCTTCTTGAGAAGGAAGCCTCCAACAGGACGTGAAAGCACCTGACATTCGAGAACTAAAACCCTGACACTCGTCCATGGACAGTATAGAGGGGAAAATAGCTTTCAGAAGGCCTTTAATAACATTGCCAGGCGGTTGGCTGCCAAGTTCAAAGATGGCCAGACCCCGGGACACTAATGGAGCCGGAGAGTGCAGCCGAGACACAAAGCTGAAGGCCAATTATCGGCTCCTGAATTATGAATGATGG